CGGTTCAATACTCACACGATTTAGGTCAGCATATTTTAAGGGTAATAGGCATTGTCTTTGAAAACCCTATTGTAAACGGTACATGCAATATGTAACTTTAAATAAACACAGTACTAAAATGGTGTCAGTAATATATACACTTAACAGAATATTTTACGTTGAAACTGCAGGACCGAAACTCAAACACATTCAGTTGTAGATGGTATCGGTAAAATGCACTGACAGTCATTCGCATTGGCCTTGGGTGTATGCAAGGCGTTGGTTTGGCACCACAGACCTGTTCTGTCCAGACAAGCGGTATTGTCCAAGCAAATATGCATCTAGTCTTTGCTTGAACGTCTCCATGGTATCCGCCATTATTACGTCCTCGAGAAGCCCATTCCAGGCACCGACGACCCGCTGCGAAAAACAGTATCTTCGAACGTCCAAGCGGCATCGAGATCCTCTAAGTTTTAGATAGTTCCCACGCAGGTTTGTTGTTGTGGCCAGGGTGAAAAAATCGTCGAGGTGAAGGACACAATCCCGTTCCTCAATATCCGATACGCCTGTATGAGATCACCTCGAACCTGCCTGTACTCAAGAGGAAAGAGTTTGAGTTCACTAGGTCGGCAGTTGTAAGGTAAAGTCCTGAGGCCTTTCACAACTTTTGTCGCTCTCCTCTGAACTTTTTCTAGCAACGCATAATCTTTTTTTAGCCCCGGGCGCCACGCTTGAATTCCATATTCCAGATGCGAACGAATGAACGCTCCGTATACTTTTCCAAGTAACTCTTTATCTATGTCTATGAAAGTTCGTTTAATGGCAAGGAGAACACTGGTTGCCGTTTTGGCAGTCCTAACGCACTGAGAGGAAGGCTTTAGAGTTGACAAAATGCTGATCCCAAGATCTTTTTGTTGTGTCACATTTGAAAGGCACCTTCCACCAAGCAGGTAATGGTGATCCTCTCCGTCGGCTCTTCCAGTCGTTTTGAGTCGCAGCGCGACGCACTTCTCTAGGTTAAACTTTAGCAGCCATTTGTCAGACCATTCGCAAAGGCGGTTCGGTCCTCCTTGCAGGGCCCGTTCATCATTTTCCCCGTTGATAGCTCGCCATAACTTGATGTCATCGGCGAACATGACTCCATTGCAGTCCAGTCCATTCATACAGTCGTTGACATAAATGGAAAATAGTACTGGTCCGAGTACAGAGCCCTGGGGAACTCCACTCACAACTGGCACTGGCGTTGACTTCGCACTACCAATACACACAGATTGTGATCGACCAGTCAGATAGTCCTTTACTCAGTTTGATAGGTTTCCCCTTATCCCTGACTCTCGGACCTTGTAAAGTAGCCGGTGATGTGGAACACTATCAAAGGCCTTTTTTGAAATCAATGTAAACGATATTGACCTTTGTTCCTGCGTCTAACGAGCGAGACCGTTGTTCCGTTGAATATAGCATATAAGTTAGGCAGGAGTGATTTCGTTGAAAGCCATGTTCGGAACTAGCAATGATATTATTTTCTTCAAGGAATTTCATTATGGATTTTTTGACTATTCTGTCCATGACTTTTCATTAAATGCACGTAAGGTTCACCGGCCGATAGTTGTTTGTACTTGCTCTAGATCCACCCTTGTGAATGGGGTATATGTTNCTAAGATCCCAAAACGGAGTAATTGAGACGGATGACCACCTGAAAGCATCAGCCTTCTCCAATTTCTTTCAGTCGGTATTCACTCATGACACAAACCCTCCTGCCATGCCATATGTAGACCAACGACAATATCCCTCCTGTCCTGCATTGGAAGACAATCTTTTCTTCTCACCTACGTTGATAAGGACCGAACTACGCCGGCTGAAACCTGCCAAATCACCTGGTCCAGATGGAATTCATCCACTTGTCCTCCGAGAATTAGCTGATGTACTCTGTGAGCCGGTGTCCATGATATTTCGGAAGTCCATGGAAGAAGGCGAACTGCCGGAGGAGTGGAAAACGGCCCATATTTCTCCAATCTATAAAGGAGGATCCAGACTGGAACCCGAAAACTACCGTCCTATTAGTTTAACCTGCATTCTATGCAAGGTAATGGAACGACTTATTAAAGGGCATTTAATGTCGTATCTGGAGCAGAGGGACCTGTTATGTGCTGCTCAGCACGGATTTCGTCGTGGTCACTCCTGTCTTACAAGCAGCCTTTACTCTCAGGAAAAGTGGACAAGAGCCACAGACCAGGGCCGTCCAGTGGACGTCATCTTCTTTGACTTTAAGAAGGCGTTGATAGCGTTCCTCATGGACGACTGCTACAGAAGATTTGGGAGTGTGGAATACAGGGCAGCATTTTTAATTGGATTAAAAGTTTCCTGTCATGCAGGCTCCAAAAAGTCATCGTTGGTGCCACTACATCCGAATGGGTGCCAGTAAAAAGCGGCGTTCCGCAGGGCTCAGTCTTGGGTCCTCTCCTCTTCCTCATCTATATAAATGACTGTCCTGCAGACCTTGAATGCGATGGCATCATGTTTGCGGATGATATAAAGATCTGGAAAGCAATCAGCTGCGTTGAAGATGCGCAAAAGCTACAGGAAGATGTTAATAAGCTGGCTGCGTGGTCCAGCATGTGGCTCCTAGCGTTCAACGTATCCAAGTGTGTAGTCTTGCGACTAGAATCTGGACGGAGGCGCTTCCCAAAACATCAGTACATCATAAATGGGGTTCCACTAAATGAAGTGGACACGCACAAAGACCTAGGTGTCTGGACATGCTCAAACTTGCTGCCCTCTCAGCACTGCAAAAGAGTCGTCCAAAAGGCAACCAGCACCATGCACTGGATTAGGCGCGCCTTCAAAATCTTTCCTCCAGAACTCTTCTCACAGATATTCGGCACATTCGTCAGACCGCACTTGGAATACGGAATGCCATCATGGATGCCCTGGATGAAGAAAGACAGTGATGCCATAGAGCAGGTGCAACGACGGGCCACAAAACTGGTGGACGGTCTCAGGACTCTGTCATACCCAGAAAGACTGATCCAGTTAAATTTGTTCCCCCTATCCTATAGAAGAATGAGGTGTGACCTATTATGGACATTCCGCATTATCCACGGGCAGGAATGTTCGCTCGAAACTGACGACTTTTTTGAATTCACGACCACGAGTCATCTGCGCGGTCACCCTTACAAAGTCAAGCGGGAGCGTACACGCCTAGACAATCGGAAGTTTTCCTTCAGCCAGCGTGTTGTTCGACCATGGAACTCACTCCCAAGTGAAATAGTGACATCTGATTCAATCGCTATATTCAAAAGGCAGCTGGATCGTTTGATATTTGATAAACGACGACTTTCACAACAGGACTACCTGCGGCCAGCCATAAATTTCATTTCTTGATTTCATCCCTACTTAACACACCCCTGACCCTTAATGAGATGCCCCCTCTCAAACTATGCAAATGACTGCACTTTATGCTGACTGTATATAACTGCACTTAAAATTTCATGTGAACACTGAGAAGACCGCCTGCCGCACGCTTAGCAGTCCCTCATTGTGAAAGTTTCCAGTGAACAAATATGTTACTGACAAAATTTTAGTAAGATGTACATTTAACATTTATATTTTATGTACGTTTTCAATAGGGTCATCAAGGGCATTGCCTATTACCCTAAAATACAATACAATACAAAGCCTATGAGACGGAAATTCGTCTTTGGCTTAACTGCGGAAAAAGGCAAGCGATCTGTATTCACAATTGACAGTCAAACTTCGTTACGCCCGCTGAAAACGCTGGTTTGCTATATTTGGACATTTATATAGATAAAACACGACAAACCGAGGGCTGTCCTCCGAACGTAAAATAATGACTTAACTCCTGTTCTTTGGAATAAATATCCACTATCATACATTAACTATGAATTTGGAAGTGAATGTCGCAGGCTCCTAATAGAAAAAGTGAAACGCACTCCAGATGTAGAACTTGAGATCTCTTCTGATAATGATTGAAATTAACACATTATCCGTGCACCGAAGAAGCACCCCTGTTAGTGTTGACGTGATTTTGTATATGCAAAATAAACTAGGTTTACATAAAAGTGCTGCATCTGTTCCTAACTAGACGACGTGAACAATTTCAGACCACGCTGCAAACAGGTAGGGAATTTCTTAATCCCAAAGATGACTTTCAAAAAATGATCCTCATCTCACATAGACTTGTCCATTACCAGCCAAGGTGGATTCTAACTTTCTGCTGCTAACCGACTGAAGAAACTTGTCTCCGATCGCTCACGGTCACAAGTACTGAACTGTGCGCAAAATCGTAAAAACAGCATCAGGCGGGAAAGCATTCTGTTGCATTTCCAATGCAATCGAGTGCTTTTTATCTAGCTTGTGAAAATCTACTACTTTTTCCCACTTACTTGAATTGCCTTAGCAATTGCCTACACCGGCATAGAGCAAAGTCATTGAAGCCACGTATGCCCTGATAGGTAAACGACAAAACATTTTTTCTTAAATTAAACATAACAAACTGGCTTTTTTGTTATTGCTAATGGCATCTTAAGATCTTTGAGTCTAGCATCCTCCCTAGGCGATTGCAATGACCTTTGTCAATCAGTGGACTTGCCTTTCGCTTTAAACAGGCCAACGGCCTGCACGGAGTGAACCCAAGACACCGTGGCTTCTTATTGCGGGCTATCATCGCTCAGGCTGAATCAGTTACCAGATTCTTTTGCAAACCATCATTTGAAGCGCTAGAGCTTGTTAAGTAAAATATAGTTCGCCAAAGTTTTGTAGCGACATAGGACGGCAACCACTGTTATAAAAATTATAAGCATTCCACCACAAGCCATGGCGCGTGCTCGAAAGCCAGATGATTAGTGGAGTCAATCAGGATTTACTCCACAAGTTCAGAATCTCTGAGGAAGGAAGACGATTGTTTTTGTGCTGGCAGAGTGTCGATATGTGAAATAAGGACTACCTTGAGTTGAGGCAAACTTGATCACATCTTGTTTCCACAGATCGCATTCGGGATTGCGATGGTGGTGCCAATCAAACCAGAGGCTGGCTTCGGCCTCCTCACTACGGGCTGCTCTCCAGGAGGTGGAGGTTCCAACGTCTGGACTCTCCTACTGCATGGTGATCTGAACCTCAGTATGACGATGACATTCATCAGCAATGTGGCCGCTCTAGGTAAGCCCATTCTGCTTGATGTGTTTTGCCTGCCTAATGTTTATGAGAGGCGCGGGAGAAGAGAACTTCCACAGCGTGAAGACATTTGCTCACGCAAAATGCCGGAATACATATGCATTTTGGAGGATTTAGCGGTGCCCACATGTTAGTACATGCGATCGAATACGGCTAGAGTTTATGTTGCCAGCACGCATTTAAACCAGTACCGTTCACTGCCTGTGACTGCATACTCAACTGCCTAGTTTTTTTGGTTTGCCCATATAGGTAAACGCATAGAACCTATTCATTTAGGGCGCCTTCAATGGGAGCCTAAAGTCCATGGACGCAGTTTAGATGAGCTTGCCTCAATCGGCTGATTTAGGGGACTTTTTAGGAGATTTGAAGGTTTCTGAGTAAAATACCTGGTCAATATGCTGAAAACCTCCATTTAAGTCGGGGCATACCGGTTAAACATAATGTGTCTCCTCTTTTACGATCTGGGGTGGAAGAATCGTAATACCTCTGATGTCTTAACTTACGGGCAACTTTCACGGTTTAATCATACTATACTTCAGTAAAGACGGCAGTTATAAGAATACTTAAACTGCCAAACTTGACCTGGCAGCCGACATGACGATTGCATAGAAAGTATTGTTAGTTCTCCTGTTGAGAAAGTAATGTCTTCTCGAATATGAATTTGCTGTTTGGAGGCTAAACAGCATATGGTGACCTGTAAACTAACACAAACCTTTTGTTGCAGGATAACATGCTAACAGCACAGGTATTAGCTAGAAGGCCAGACAGGTATCCCGCTGATATTCTGTCGATGGGTGGCGCAGAAAGCTCACGGGGAAAGCTGAGATACCCGCGGGTAAGCCGATCCCCTCGCGGCTGCACCACGTAGCGGGAGAGTATCGGCGGAACACGTGTCTGGGCTTTTATTTGGACCCTGTTCTGCTAGCATGGTGTCATGTAACCCTAATATGCACCATTAGCTTCCTGTGGACAGTTAATGACTGTTACGTGATTATCTCGCGGCTGATGGTTATCGGCCCAAGTATTCATGCTCGAACTTTGGTCTACGCCTATAGACCTTGGTTTTAATTGATCCACTCGAACCTTGCTGTTAATTTCCGTGGAAAGTAATAATCAATAACACTAATCTCTAAATAAGTGAACGTTTAATCCAACTGGGCCAGTCTTTCTGCATCCGCTTCATTATTGCATATGAAATATCGATCATAGATTTGAGGGCTTGCCGAGTTTTTCAGCCAAACGTCGATAATTGTTTTCATTTTATTGGCTGAAGCCTTTCGGCTCCTTTGATTGGTGCCCTAGCTTTGGCTACGGCATCTGGTGGTTATTGGCACTCTGATGCGTCGGACTGCCCTTTTACCTCATTAACTTCCTCCCTGGGTGAATGAGCTCCATCATCCATCGGTATTCTTCAACCCATCGAGTTGATCCTGCCCTATGACGAAGGGGTGGCACTGCTTGATCAAACCAACGCCTGGGAATCAGGTGTCCAGCGTGAGACATTCAGGGCTTCCAATTTTTACATTCAACCAACACTAAGGCAAAGCCACTGGTCATGGAAAATTCTCTTATCCTAGGATATCCATCTTTCTCGTAAATTAAGCCCGGGCGAGTGCATGTAATAACTGTAAATTTCTAACTAATGTGGTAGGTCCGAAAGGAGACAGCATACCAGAACTTCCGACTGTCTACTTAAATAAAATATAATGTCCACCTACTAGATTCTCATTTTCGTAGACCTTTTGTTTGGTGGTAGCTAAACACATACGGCAGATGCCAAACCGGCCGAATTTATCGCCGCACTTGAAGCCATGTTGGTAAGAACCAATGCGACCGACGAGGCTAAACACACCGTACGCCAAAAAGTCACCTCCCTACTGCTGACGAACAGGCCCATCAATAATATGTCGCCCGCAGAAATAGAAGCAAGGAAGGAATTAAAAATGGACAGAGATAATAATAATGCTGCCAGCCGACAAAGGAAGAGCAACCGTCGTGATGAACCGCGTTGACTACAACGAAAAGGCACAAGCCCTCCTAGACGACCAACAGTCCTACAAGTCCACGCCTCCCTCGCGAGCCAAATCGATGATTGGTCAACTAACTGGACTCCTGAACCGACTCAAGCGAAACAGTGCTATATCGCTAGACGAATGGCGACAGATGAAACCAACGGACACGGCACTGGACCGGTTTTATGGATTACCCAAAATCCACAAGCCCAATGTTCCCCTTCGACCGATCGTTGCCTTGAAAGGCAGCCCCACTTACAATCTATCCAAGTGGATGGCCCGAAAACAACTTTCTCCGAGAAGGCTCAAGGACCACCATCAATTCGGCCTCCCAATTCCTGGCCGACATCCGAGGAAAAGTTGTCCGACCGGAGCAGATTATGGTGTCCTTTGACGTGGTTTCATTATTCATGTCCATCCCACCGGACCTGGCACGCGACGTTCTTCGCAAACGACTCGAAGAGAATTACGACGAGACGAACAAACCCCTAAAAATCGACCACTTACTGCAACTGTTTACTTTCTGTCAACAAACCTTCTTCACTTTCAATGGCCGAACATACGAGCAGATCAAAGAAACGCCGATGGGTTCACCAATATCCAGCGTAGTTGCAGAACTAGTCCTGCCGGAACTGGAAAAAGTCGTCTTCGACCAATATGAACCTGCATTTTGGCGCCGGTACGTGGACGACACGTTCGTCATAATTGAAGGGAGCAGACTGGCTGACTTCCAAGACCTGCTCAACGGCATCTTCCCAGACATTCAGTTCACAAGGGAAGAAGAGCATGCCGAACAGCTGCTTTTCCTTGACGTTCTCGTCACACGCACACCCAACGGCGAACTTAACACCACGGTGTACAGAAAGGCGTCTAACGCGACCCAGATTCTCAACTACCACAGTAACTACCCAATGGCGCATAAACGCAGCTGTGTTAGGACACTCTTCCAGAGGGTAAAAACGAACTGCAGTGAACCAGAGGGCCGAGTACGAGAACTTCGGCACCTTCGGGACCAACTGGCAAGGAATGGATACCCGAACAGCTTCGTCAGCCGCTGCCTCCGCACGCGCCCACGGCGAACAAACGGAGGAGAGCCGCCAACACTCTGGCACCCTCTGCCATATATAAAGAACGTATCCGAAGCGATGGAACGTATCGCTGGAGAGCTCGGCGTGGGTATCGCTCACCGTCCGACAGCGACCATGCGCAGCAAAATCATGCAAGTGAAGGATCGCCTAGACGTGGGTGGACAATCGGGCGTCGTCTATCAGATCCCATCTCGGGACTGCCCTCGCCACTACACTGGACAAACCGGACGACGACTTAGCTCACGAAGAACGGAGCATAGATGGGCGGTCCGGAGAAACGACCCGTTGTCTCAGGTCGCCACTCACACCCTGGAGGAAGGCCACGAATTCAACTTTGCGAGCACGCGGATAGTGGCGCGGGCCAGCAATAAGACAGGACGAGAACTGTTAGAGGCCTGGGTGTCTGACACCAACGCTATCAACAGGCACATTGACATACCCCCCTGCTATCACGCGCTCCGTTCCCGCGGCCAAGGGGCGAGACCCAATTTCCAACCAAGGGTGCACGCAGTCACGCCCCCGTGAGACGGCGTGGGACGCAACTTATCGCGAATACCACCCTCTGCACTCATATCTCTCTCCCTCCCCCTTCATGGCGTGACTACAAAAACCACTCATTTGATGTTGCCTTCTCACGGTCTCTGACGATGGCCTCCTGTACGAGACTGAAAGCTCAGACTAATAAACCCACTGTCCCAGAGATCGGGTCTTCATCTTCTTTACATAATTATAAATCTTTTTACGGCAGTATAATTCATTATCAGTCTGTAAATCTGTGTAAAACGTCATTTATTAGGAGAAGCGGGAAGCCGAGCAGTTAATCGGGAGTCGTGTTGAAGAGCGCTTATACTGCTGAGCAAGCAGTAAATAAATTCAATGTTGCAGTTTCGAAACACTTCCAGACCAAAACTGTCAACTGGGTGCATCTAGGTTTTGAGAAGATTGACGGTTGCAGTACAGCCCAAGGAGTTAATTTTAGGAACTAATTATTGTTCATTAGTATGCAAACACGAATTACATACGTATATGTGCGTGTAGGTGTAATGTAGCACACGAAGGCCTTAAATAGCCGACAGTTCAGTAGACGTTATGATGTCAATGCATGTCAATAGACGATTAAAAAATTTAAGACATCAGTGACGCACAGAATTAGTAACATTTACTTGGCGTCGGAAAAACTGCTGCCAACTAAAATTTCATATGGACAATTGGGAGACTCTCTATTCCCTCGGAGATCCCCTGTTCACCCGATGCTATTAGAGAGCGCATGTCTCCGCAATGATAAATAATCCTTACCCTGTCATAATGGACAACTAGTTTTACAGAGAACCTGTAATGGTCAAGGATGCACATTAAGTGAATTCGGCGTATTCAGTGGGTCCACGACGTTATAAGCTATATCCTTTTAAGAGACAACCGAGGTTGCGAATTTCTTAAGTGCCCATATCCCAGATTCACAAAAACGCTTTAAGCTGACGGACTGAGAGACATATCAATCAGATTTTTTTTATTTTCCCACCCTACTCCATTGTTATGCTTTGCCAAACCTACCATTCGGCTTTTTTCTCCCAAAGGCATGATTCCGCTATATTTCAAATTTAAGCTACTATCGGCTTATGAAGGCTAAGAACATGGCAGTAGGCGACATGTGTGACTCCTACAGCGGTGACGGCGTACCGAAAATTCTGCCCAGTTTTAAATGATCCCTGAACTATTGGTTGTAAAGCTTTCTGCTTCAGTGAAAATCGCCCATATTCTTCACAATACTGCTTGTCCACAGGACTGTAAATTTGTTCACTTGAACATGATTCAAAGCAACAGGTGTTCTTAATGTGCCAGTCCATGGAATGGTCAATAAACATGTACTGATGATTTCAGACCATCCACGAAGTAACGGTTTATGTCTGTTGTTATATCGCTATTTTCTAAGCATTTGTCACATTGTAATCTTTAAGTGCCCTTATTCAAACAACGATAGACAACTGCCCAACTTGGAGCATAAGGGACTCACCGAAACGCTAAGATGTACATGCGGCGATAGACCATCATCAACGTAACATGAGTGGGCCCAATCTGGAGAGTTTCAAAGAAGTCATGCAGAAAGCCATCGGCGTCCACCAGCTGGTCGCAGGAACAGAAGATCCCGCAATGACAGATATTGCCTATTCTTCTATAATTTACGGTTGGTTTTTCGGAGCAAACAATGTCCGAGCGAAATTAAGTAGATTAAGTAGTGCATAGTCAGTAGGTCCGCCATTTCATAAGCTGGCAAGTGCGCATATCCCAAATATTTACAGTGAGGCCTTGAGCCGATGTATGCAAGTCTTTTAAGTCAAGTAAAACACTCACATTTTACGTCACCACTAACTAGTCTGTTCTTTTTTCTCTCTCTCAAAGGCATGATGCCGCTGATGCTTTTTATCTACGGTCGCTTCTTCCTCGACGTGCAGCAGATACGAGTTCCCTATGGTCACATTGTTAGTCAGTTGCTGTGCGTTGTTGTACCCGTCATTGTTGGGATGCTCGTGAAATTTTACCTCTCAAAGCTGGCTGCTAAAATTCGGCGACTGCTGCGACCACTGGCAATTCTTACCACCGTCTTTTTGGTGTGTTTCGGCACCTACGTGAGCCTGCCCATCTTAGCTTTGATTGGTCAGTATCCGGTCCTCCTGCCCACAGCAACTGCTCTACCCTGGATTGGCTTCCTGGTCGCCGGCCTTATCGCCTTCTTGCTTCGGAGGCCACGCACCGAAATACTCACCGTCGCCATTGAGACAGGCATTCAAAATATCGGCATAGCCGTCCTCGTGCTGCTCTACTCGATGCCCCAACCGGAGGGGGACATTGGTGCTGTGATGCCCCTGATTGTGTCCTTCTTCACGCCTCTGCCTCTGATGATCGCGCTGATGATCCTCTATATTCGAGAGGGGCGGTGTGCCTGCTGCAGAAGGCGGCCGCGGCGCTCCCCACTGTCTCAGAAAGCCAACGGAACAGGTTTGACCGATGGTTGTGAGGAGGAGGAAGAAGGCGAAGGAATGATATCTGTACGGTCGTAAAACCTGGACTGCATTTAACGGCTGTTACTGTCTTTGCAATCGCTTCGTCATTATTTGGCTGTTTACGCTGCAGAAAACTCTTTTTTTGCAGAATTATGTTCGACTTGTCAGCCAGACGAATGTTCCTCACACCGTTTCCCTTTTAATAACACGACTCCTGTTGTTTATCTTTCGAAGTATTTGTTCTTCTTTTAAAGATGGCCGTGAGAGTAAATCTTGTGTGCTCCTACATTCATGAAGCTTTATTGACGCAGAAAATGAACGATCACAACTTGGGTATGTGATGTACTTGCTCTTGATCGGTACACAACAATGTAGGGCAACGGTGTACAGAAGGACTCCATTTACATTTCAATGGACTGTACACCGGGTCATATGGGTTTTAATCTTCAGATACATTTGCAGGCTATTGCAGATATGGCACTGCCAACGACAATTACTTCTCACGACCTCACACCTTAACTCAAAGTACATTATTTTGCAAGATTTACATTTTGTTTATTGTGTAACTACTACTCTTTGTTCCGTTGTCCTACAATAGCGTAAGATAAGACTTTCGATATCAATCCAGTTAATTTCTGCCTTTTCCTTCATTTTGTCAGCTTACTGTCTATCGGTTGCCCCACCCATAAAACTCCCTTTACCATAAATCACGCATCGCACGGTCATCAGTCTACTGAGAGTTAACTGGGGTCCCTCTCTAAACCGTTGTATAATTTGGACATTACAAAGTGGTCCTTCAGACTCCCCTTATCAAACAGTATAGATGTTTTTGCTTCATCCTGTTCAAAACGCTACATGCAGTGAAAAGAGTTTTTCTTTGGTTTGCGTCTTCACATAAATACAACTAACTATGCTCCGTCGCCATCGCTATGAAGTCCGTTTATCTTCTCGCTTGCAGACTTCCTAATACTGTACTGGGAGCCAGACTGGTCTCCTGGATTCTGCAGCAGAGATTGAAAGATGCAGATGGTAGCTAATATGTCGCGTAAATTCGGTGGCATGCATTTAAATTCCGTGTGATTAGCTATGCATCCACAGTAGCAATAGTCTATCCACTTCCGCAGATGCATGCTTTGCATCCTGATTTCGAAGTTAGCCAGATCAGGTGAGATGAGGATACTGCGGTGCCGAATAACGAAAGCAAATACATGAATTGAATTTCTGCAGAATTGCATAAACAACAAGGAAAATCCTGTTGAGTTTTACAAGATGTTACGTCGAGAGAAATTTCGTCTTACTCTCTAAAACCTCGACCGTCTTGCGCAATCTAAAATAGAGGACTGCATTGAGTTGGTCGGCTGCAACAAATCCCGCCTGCATCAGATGAGACATTTACTTGACAATTTTCTATTGTTGGCCTTTGTTCTTGAAGCATGCATGTACTATACAAAAGAGGACTAGGGCATCGACTGGCCTTAAGCTATTAAAGGCAATTAGTAAGAACCCTACTGAGGATATATTTCCATTGAACACAGAAGACTTCATTTATAATCCGTCTGACATTAAACATACCAAACTACAAACAGAGGCTCTGTCATTAGGACTTGATTTCTGTGTTCCTAACAAAAGGATTAATCCTGTTGAAATTGGATCGCAATTTGGGGATTTGAATTCTCAATTATCTGAGTTAATACCCAAATCCTCTGACTACGTGGGCTGTCTGAGAGCAGAATTTGTTGATATGTCGTACCAATACCGCAGAGCTCCAATAACACAACGTACACCTATAACTAAAGAATACATGACTGCCCTGTCCGCTTTAAAGCATCATAAACAAATAATAATTTCGAAACCTGACAAGGGGCATGGGGTTGTCATTCAAAATCGCAGTGACTAAGTGACAAAATTGGGAGCTATTTTACGCGATCAGAGTGAATTCCGTTTAGAAACGTCGGCAAAGGAAGAAACCAAGGCATTGGAGGACTGCCCCTGGAAGACAATTAAAAAGCTGCTGGAAAACGATCTGTTAGACTCCAGAACAGCGTTTGACCTAAAACATAGGGGTTCATATACTCCCAAACTTTATGGATTACCAAAAACGTATAAAAGGGATATACCCCGAAGACCAATATTGTTTATGTATAATTCACTTTTTCGCAGACTAGCATAGTGGCTAGTCAAAAAATTAGCCAATACAACGACGTTTTTCTACTTACACGCTAAAAGACAGCTTCTACTTCATTGAAAAAAGTCAAAAATCAAGACAATTCTGACAAATACATGATATCCCTGGATGTATAATATCTTTTCACTAACGTACCACTGGATGCGACAATAGACATAATATGCCAATAGAAGCGAAAAGACGAGTCTGAGGAAGCAGTCTTGAAGAAGAAGACACGATCGCCGATGATGATGGATTCGAGCAGGAATCCGAAACGTCAGGCTAATAAAGCTCTTGTCCCGGCGATCGTGTCTTCTTCTTCAAGACATAGTATGCACCCATGCATCAAAAACTCGTCCGCCACCTGAAACACTACGAGACGCATTAAAATGGTTCACAAAGAACGTTCAATCTCTCTTTACTAGCAAATTATATAGAAAAATTGACAGCTTTATGGGTCATCTAGAAGAAAAAGTGTCCGCGAAATTGAATTAGGCGATTCAATCAAATGTAGAAACTGTTTTCAGGTGCATTGGATTGGGTCTGGATAAAAATACCAAGAACATTTTCTCTGAAACCACTTCAGGTAGATGACAGTTGTGTTCATTTCTTGGGAATCAGTTGGAACGAATCCTGACATTTTGATGTCTCCACCTAAGGCAAACGTAGAGTAGATGCGATGACCCATGAAATGATAACCGTAATTGTGAATTGCGTTTTCGACCGGAAAAGATTACTTAAGTAGGACTGTCGTACTAGTCGCCATGACACGAAAGACCGGTAAAAACGATAAAATGACCCAAAGGCAACTTTTTGTTGCGGTCGACCAGAAGTAAAGTTCAAGTGCACTTCTCAAACAACGGGTTGAATTTCGTAGTGAGCCACTGTACAGGCAAGTACCCAGGCAAGTAAACTTGTATTAACTTGATACCTTCCGTACAGAAGCTCCAATTGCAGCCTCGGTACTAATAGTCTTACGCAAATCCAGGGCATAAAACGCATGCGATTCCAAACTTTCCTTATTGCCTCATTTTGTGACGCAAAAACCCAACTTCAAATAGTGACAGTGGGCAGTGTTAGGCAGTTACGTACAGATGTGTTCCTGAGTGTCACAGAATCAATCGCAGGCGTGAAGGCCGTCGATACGAACATGCCTACCTAATTAGCGCATCCATTAACACGATCAGGTTACTTCTCCTTGTGGCGTCATGCACCATTTACAGTGCATTAATCTGCCTTCGGCAGTCTAATGACATCAGGATCTACCATAACAGTCAGTCGGCAATAGAATTCAGAAGAAAATATGAACCTGTTGGTATGCCCTGTCCTGAAGGCCAGCATTTACAAGGTTGGAGATGTAGTTGAGATCAATTAAAACAAAAAGCAGCCCCAACGGCGTACTTCTGCCGCGTACTTTTGCGATCGTGTCATTTTTCAAACTATATATTTGCTGCCGATAGAGGGTGACCGAACCAGTAGACATCTGCATCTTAAGACTAAAACCTATTCGTTCTTGCACAAATGTGTCTACTTTGATTTGAGCACTGACCTCTCACGGTTATTCTCATCACCGCGTACGCCTACATTCTTGCAAGTGTGTGTTGAGGCTGTGCGAGTGGCTATGCCAGTATCAGTAAATCATAGCACTGGCAGCCTGGTAGGCGCTGGCAGTTCCCTGACACCTGGTTTTCAGCCGGTAGATTCGCTTGCGCTCCCGCTAGGTACACGGGTGGTGGGCATGGCTGCGTAGTCATCCTCGTCCATCTGGTTCCTGTGGGGTGTTGCTTTTTTGTTGTTGCAGTTACTACTGTTGTTGTTATTGGTAAAAATACATTGGTAAAATGCATGCTGTGGACCAAGGGGATGTGGAGTGGGACGCCAAAGTACGGGCGGCTTGACCGTGCCATCAACCCACATCCCGCCCTCCCCTCTGCCTTGACACCGCGACCAGGTGAGGAGTGGGGAAGATGGAGTGTGTTATATGCGGCGTAAGTATACCTTCACTATAAATTAAATCACACGCAAGTCACCGTGACTGATGCAACTGGCTGTGTAGCACACGGCAGACATAATTGCAATTGACGGTCAAACTGTCTTGAATGGCAGTTTCTATGCTGGCGCCTTTTTACTCTGGCCTTTATACCACCGTCCCCCCTGATTTGAGATCCAGTATGTGCATAGCAATTCCTAGTGCATGCTGAGTAGACATAATTTTGAGCGGAACGCAAAGACGGGCCGGTTAGACTTGTAGCCATTACGCTCAAGTTCACCATCAGTCGTGCTGACATAGTATTAGCGTCAGAGTCAGATAAGCTGGGGATGTGACAGTGCAACAGATACAGCACACGTCTACTATCATCATAAACTATCTCGTGCCCAAGTCCCCAAGGGGCACACGTCGAAGTTCATCGATTCTCAACAGCGAAATGGCGAAGAGGAAGACAATTCGACATCTGAATTGCGTGATGGCCCACCAACTTGAACTTCCACCTTCATTTCGACTGTCCATCTAATTATAGACAGGTGTAAGTACTTGGGAAATTGGTTCGCAACAATTTTTGCGGACTCCAAATTGCGGTTAGAACCGTGAATTTGCCGATAGATGCGAAAAACTGAGTTGCAGGAAGCAGCCGGGGAGGAGCGGAACACGATCGCTGTGATAAGAGTCGTATTCGTTTGACGTTTCAAGGTTACATTCAAAACCGTCATCAGAGGCAGCATAAGATTACTGCTTTCTGACCAATTAGCAAGCAGTGAAACAACGCATGACAATCACTGTGTGCAGTTTAGATTTTTTCGGCCGTTTGAAACACAGTTACACACATCGGCACAGGGCAGATGGCAACCAGTTGTCTTGTAAATCGTATTACGCCTCACAACACCAAAACATTGAGTGGTCTGCCCATTTCCCGATGTAATATTGAGCAGCCAAGTTACTTCAGTCACGGTATGACTCGGGCTTTCACACGCAAATCTCTTTAGCCGTCTAAAATAGATGCATTTATGGGAAATATGACCACTCGGATAATAATTTTTCACTGTTTTGCGATGTCCACATAATAAACGGCCGAGGAAGCCGGTTAAATGTATATATCAGGTCTGTCCTGCCTGGCGTTAGCTGATCATGCAAAGGACTGCAAATATCCTTTTCGGTCTTCCTCATGACTTGTTTCGCAGGTGTGTAGAAGACGGCTTATTTCAGGAAAGCTTAACCATTTCCACTAGCCAACTATACCCAAAAAACTGGGATGTCGCGAGACCTATCCTAGGAACGAGCATATTGCGCGTTCTAACCAGATCGATGACAGACCGATGTTCATCAGAGCAGCAGCGGCGGACAACAGAGGCCTCGACAAGTAACACCCGGCAGATCACCATCCATTTGCCCCTTGAAGCAATTTTATTATATGGGTTTGTAACATCCAGGCAAATTCTCAATAATTCATGATAGGACTGATTTATATGGCCCTCTAAACAGGACTTGGGATTACGAACGCTGCACCCATGCATTGCAGGTGTACTTGGGCATAGTTCTGCATAGTTCGTGTCCTACCTCCAACCGTAACCTAAATATAAAACTTAACCGTTGCCGTAATCTTGACCCAGTTCCTACACTAAGCCCTAACTCTGCAGTTAACACTAATCCCTACCTTAGCCCTGAACTCGACTTTGACTTTTCTTTTCATTAACTTTAAAACTAGCCTTACATGTTATCCTTAGCCCAAACCGAATCCTAATTTAAATGAAAGTAGGCTTCAAGTCACCTGTAATGCAGGCGTTTATTGTTCTCATGGCCCTTGTGGGTGGCTACATAGATCAGTCCTATCCTGGGCTTCCTAGAGAGGCTGTGAGATTGCGGCAGCCGCTTTAGCCACTAGACATTTGAAACGCCAACACTCGTAGTTTAACAAAGCCAAACCGAGTGAATATCGATGTTTATCTGAGCACTGGCTCGGGTCGCCAAACGTTCAACTTCCATTTTTTGTTAACCTCACCACACATTGCTGTATAATTTTTTGTCAACTATCCATTTAAGAGATTATTTTCTGACATTTTTAACTGTAGAATAACACTCCACCCACTAATATCAGCCTTCAGACGCAGGTGTACGCCACAACTCACAAAATCACTCCAATTTATAGAGGCTGCGAGAACGCAATCAGCAGAAACAACCCCCGATAATCACGTCCCACGTCATTGTGCGCATTTATAACTTGCGCACTTCTTACTAAACCTTGCGTCATTTAAGTACTTAAGCTTGCGCTTGTAACCCTACATCATTGTGCCTAAGTTGTGCACCATATTGACCAGGGTAAATTCTTATTATATTCCCACACAGGGCTTCCACGTTTTATTACCTCGGGGTTTTATGGAGTACGCTTACCACTTAGCAAATAAGTAATGTGAGCGTACTTTTGCACGCCTCATTTTCGGAGTAGCTAGTCAAACGTCGGATGGGCTACTGTAGTCCACGGAAACGAAGATGACAAACACACTGCCGAAATTATCATTTCTGAGGCCCACAAAATAATTCAGATGTCCTCCCAACTAGTGCAGGCAACAACCATTATGGGGGGGGAGTGGTCATATCTCACACTTCCCGCTAAAATCAGTGGCGGAGTCCCCAAAGGGGCCTGTTGAAAGCAATCTAGGGTGCATTTAAGTGGTTCTGACAGATCTGGAATCCATCTCTCTCATTAAATAGAGTGGCGTGGCACGCCGCACCGGCACTTGTGGTATCTTTTGACTTGAAGCCTCTTTTTCAGGCATCCTTGAGATCTTATTCTGCGCCAGGATTCACTATAGTCTTTAGGATTTTCAGTACCTTCTGGTTTGAACTGCGCTCTACCAGCTAGCTCAAACACCTTCTTAAGGCCATCCTCAAGATATAATTCTGCATCCAAATGAATCGATTAGTACGCTGAGTAAACTCTCCATCCCCCACTCTTCTGGCATTTGCTTGCATTCGGCAAAAAATCTGCGTAGTTTTGGGCTGTCTGGTTTTCATCTAATCCCGGTATGAGATAACGCCGAGGTTATTGCAGTACTAAATTGCCTACTGCTATTGGCTTTCAAGACTGACGTCCTATTACGCAGCACGCATATCTGACCAAAACCAAATCACGTAGATTTCGGTCTGGATCATCCACCGTGCTCCAGACCTGCATACGCTTGTGACCCAGTTCAGGGTCTGTATAAGCGTCAGCATTCAGTTTTTGTACAAATATTTGGTTTGACATTAGAATAATTGGCCCCTCGAGTTATACAAGTGGACTTGGGATTACTTTTTCTCTTGTCCTTACTCTATCCACAACCCTTACAGTATCTGTCAACTGCAAACAAGTGAACGACCTACTACGACCTTCACGTTAACCCACGACTGGACGCCCCTACACCCCTCATCACCAACGCCATTATCACCAAATTATTCTAACTCTGCATCCTTCCAAACGCATTCTGTCAAAACACACCTTCACACGAAATTTATTAACAGCCGGCGACGCTGTCACTACTACCGTCATGATGTAGGGTATGACTGGCATTGAAGCTGGTAAACACGCTCAACCCACCTCGTCTGTCGGCACATAAAGGAGTTTCCGCTTACCTCCTGACTTGTCTCCCTGTTCACTTAACCGACGTGGCAGATCGGAGACAGTCAAAGTGAATAGACTTTTTCAAAATACTGAGATGACTGTGGGATGCAGAATAGGAGAGTTTCCATATTTTTCACACAGGATATTCGACGTCCACGCTTGAGTATTCTAAAAGGCATGATAGCGTTGTATCGCGGCCACATCATTTCGACAAGGGCTCTGCTAACGATAAGGTGCCCAGCTAGCGTATGATGTGCACCATGGTCGCACAATGTTTCATAATTAGTGGGTAGCCAAAGCTTTCTTAGGTTTTTCTTGGTTAATACTGTCGTATCCAACGACATGGACATTAGTTGTATGGCGTTGAATTAGTGACCACAGCGTCTTCCTTGGTCAAGTGGTCGTTGACTCCGATCATGAATTCAGTAGCATTCCGCCATCCTAGTAAATGGCAGAGTTTTGTATTTTACGATACTTTTAGACCAACTAACCATTCACGTTGGTAAAAGCGTCATTGACAAACCAAGCCTACGATTCTGGCATACGGGTTTCGACCGATAACGTCCACATCTTAGCAATACAATGTCCGCGAACGGCATTCCTTCATGCTATCACATTGCTACCACATTGAATTTAAAATTCACCTGTCAATGAATTAAGACTTAAGAAGTCTTTGGTTTTTTCGCGGAGACCTGCCCCAGTGGCTGATTGCGAAAGGGTCGGTACACAGCTCCACTTGTTTCCTCAATTATGGGCTCGGAGACGTCGAAATCGCCAGATCGGGATTCCGTGAATGAAGACTGGCACCTGCGGACATATAAAACGCCCGGATAAACACTGCAAATCGACTTGGCGGTTCTTCTTTTGTTTCTGCCTTGCAATAAGAGGACTTATTTACTTGACTGTCACGCTTGTATAAAGTACAGTGCACATTATGGAAAACCTGCTCAGAAATATGTGGAAGAACATGCAGTCGCTGAAACAAGAAGTCTACCAGCCCGAAGTTTTGGATTCTTACTCAAACGCATCAACAGAGACACTTGCAGATACAACATTCCTTTCACTGTTCAACTGGTAGTAAACGTCTGTTTAAAATTTTCAGAACAAAAAGGTTTCATGTTCCCAGTTTTTCAATGAGAGTTGACGATTCCCTTTTTATCTTAGAACACGACTGCCTTCGGGTTACAAGCTGCACGCTTTACATTTGTGTAAAATTCCGCATTCCTTCATGCTATCACAAATCTACCACGTGGGATTTAAAAGTAAGCAGTGGATAGGGAAAGCATTGCGTAATTCATTGGGGACGTTAAGGAACGGACAGGTATTGTGCTGTTTTAACAGACATTTTAGGTCTTTCAAAATATGACAGATATGCTTGCCGCTTAACTATCTCTTTTTCGAGCAAACAAAAATCGGAGAAATCGTACTTCATTGCACACTGGGTAGAAGTAGGTATATTTGTGCGTTCTAATTCTAAAAAAATTTCCGGATTTATATGGACATCGAAATCCACTGGAAAAATTAATACTATATTCACAGGCAACGGGAAGTATGTATTATCAGTAGCCCGGCTAATGCCGCGGATTGTTAGTATTACAACAGCAACAAAATAAATATTCGCAACCGAATACTAACTGCATAATTTCTGTCGGCCTTCTGTGATTAAGGCAGGCCTGATGTACACCAATGAAAGCTCCCAATAGGAACCAAGCCAGGGAGGAGATTGAAGTCGACATTTCCAATATTTTGTCGTGAACAGCTGACGTCAAGCAGAACAGATCTGACGTGCGTATACGACCTACCTGGTCGAAAGGTGATGAGCGAGGTTAGGTGCATGGCCGCGTAATGTATTTTATGCTATTAGAGTAAATTTCAGTCACATTGTCTTCGCGTCTACGCCGACGGGCCTTCTCTTCAGAATATAATACCCACCACACCATTTACATCCGAATGGCATGCCTCGGACATGGCAGTTGTTTGTAAAGCGGTGAATCACTCACGAATGGACCCCAATAATGACAGGGAAGACATGGGCATTCCTTATTGTGCGATCTATCCATCAGGCCTATCCACATGGCAGTCCTTGACGCGTCACGCTTTCAAGTAATCCAGAGCCATCTGGGCATGTAAGCTCGTGTAGAACAGGACCTATTCCAAGTCGCCTTTAAACTGTGTTCACAAATATGTTTTCGTTGTCCGGAAAATTTGAGCCGTTCGGCCTTTCCTTTTAGCTAATATGCACTTCGAGGCATCCGCAGTCGTAAGTGGAAACAGAGTGACGGTAGTTCGCAGATCTCGGAGTAGCAAAGTCAGTCAAACTTCTCAGCGTCCTGGATGTCCTTTTCCCCCGCCTTATGTTTTAATTATTGTGTTGCAAATGGCAGAAAAGCCAGCCTGTGCGTATCAGTTGGCATGCTTGTTTCATCACCCGCTAGATGGGCTTGTATGCCAACTCTGCCTCTGATTACGGTTGCTAGCCTGAATTAGAAATGTCAGTCAAAAATGACTCGTTTTCCTAAGATTTTTTCTCCTTCTTCCCCTAATGCTTTCTGAAACTCGTTTTTAGGCTCCATCGATAGACTCATGACTATAATCTTCAACTTGCGGCAAACATAATGTACGATTAGGTTACGATAGGAATATTTAGAGTGGCGTGACAATCAAAAAATTGCCGTGGAGCAAGTCGAAATATAGGTGTAAGCCCGACTTGAAAGACTAATATGCGACGTATTCTGATACCCAGAACCACATGATTTGATCTTACTCCCGTTCACCCTTGCGGTTTCAATCCAGAGCCATCCTAAACGGTTTGAATACGGTGTGTCATTTTGCTTGCTTTAACGGAGACGGCGATTATGATTGCATGGTACGTTCTTTCCCTGAACTAATGGTTGCTGCCCATTCCCTGATTTGAGGCAGTCCTGTGTAACAGTGGTCGCACTCTACGCACCATTCAGCAGACCGAGATTCCGTCAATTGTCTATTTGCGATTTGAGCAACACCCCGGGACTATGGTAGTCATGCTTGAGAATGAAATCACGGGAGCAGTGTTGATTTCATGCTTCAGAGCTCTTGAAAGTCAAAACATTTTTGGGTCCTGAGACGAGATTTGAATTACAAGACAATTCGCCGCACGTCAGGTGACATGTTTTATTTCACTGCTTACCAAGGGGTTTGTAGGTAGTCTTTTGATTCTCCGCCGGGCAAGTAGGAATCTTCTTCCAGTAGTCGTGTCTCCTTCTCCTCCCACTGCTTCCTTCAACCCAACTTTTCGCCTCCACCGGCTGATGTACGACACTAAAACGTGCCATAAGACAGGCATAGTTAATACAACACATAAAGTTTTTGTCTAGTTTCCATATGTTCACGACCTTATCTGCTAACATTAAATTTTTTCATAAATAAGCCAACGTCCTGCGTTCAGCGTAGTGCGGGTCATACGGTGGACATCGTCATTAGCGATGGTCAGTCTGTCTTTCTGCAAATAACCTGGAGAAACTCAAAGGAGTAAGCATCCATCCAAATGAGGTCATGGTATCTTTTGATGTTACATCCCTTTTTACTTCTATTCTCCAGGACCTGGCGATCGAGACAACTGAGCTGCTACCACAAAGCAAATACGATGAAACGGAGAACCGTCTTGGACACGCCCAAATCCTTCAGCTCCTGAAGCTCTGTCTCAGCACGTACTTCACGTTCAACGGGAAAATCTACAAACAGGTGAAGGGCACACCAATAGGTTCGCCGATTTCGGGATTTATTGCCGAGGCGGTCCTGCAACGGTTAGAATAGCTGGTCTTCCAACACCACTGACCGAAATTCTGGGTCCTGTATGTGGATGACACCTTCGTCGTCATCGAACGGGATCAGGTCTTGACATTCCAAAAACATCCCAACGCCGTCTTCCCGGACATTCAATTTACGGTGGAGGAGGAAGAGAACAACCAGCTGGCCATCCTGGATGTCCTCGTATGCCTCAAAGATTGTGGTGAACTAAAAATTAAAGTGTTCAGGAAAGCGACAAATACGATGCAAGTACTGAACTTCAACAGTAACCACCCAATCAGCCACAAACGCAGTTGTGTAAGGACGCTCTATCGGCATGTCGAAATGCACTGCAATGAGCCGGAAGACAAAATTGCCGAACTACAAAAGTTCCGACGGGTCTTCAAAGCCAATGGCTACTCGCGCAACTTCGTCGACCGGTGCTTACGCAAAAGGGACGAAAGGCCTGACCGCACGGACACCAAATCTTGGCGGGCACTTGCGTATGCCAAGAACGTTTCGGAAGCTTGCTGATAGAAGCGAACAGGCGAGTTCCAGTTAGCAGTTCAGAAGATGAAGATGCGATCACCGGAACAAGAAATTTATTTGCCTGACGTTTCGGATCCTTACTCGAATCTATTATCACAGACATTAGCAGATAAAGGTCTGCTAATGTCTGTGATGATGGATTCGATTAAGGATCCGAAACGTCCGGCAAATAAATTTCTTGTTCCGGTTTCGGAAGCTGTCGGCCGCCTTCTCGCACCACTTGGGGTTGCAGTGGCACACAGACCGGAGGCAACCATCAGACGTCTGATCATGAAACCGAAAGACCCACTGCCACGGCTAGAAATTTCTGTAGTCGTTTATTGGATCTGGTGCAGTTGCGGACAAAGCAACTACGTCGGAGAAACCGGAAGACAGCTCCGAACGAGAATGGCCGAACACGCGGCAGCGGTGCGCGGAAATGACGCCAGCTCTCAAGTTGCAACTCAGTCGACGAGATCCGGCCACACATTCAAATTCGACGAGGCCGAAATTCTCGCAAGAGGTGACAACCGCGTGAGTCGGGAGCTACTGGAATCATGGTTTACTGGCCCCCAGTCCACCAACAAGTGCAACGATCTTCCCACTCCATACTGCGTGCTAAAATTTCGCCTAGGCGGAGTAACAAGCCATTCGGGGAGGGCAGAGGTGAGCACTTTTCCCAACACCGGGGTCGGTGAGTCGGATGGTCGAGCAATCATCACGCCAACATCCAACACACGTGATGAAATTGCAGCAATTATCGACTCGAATGTCGGCCATCAAGCAATGATCACACCAAGTGCGACGATCCCGGATAAGGGGGGAGCCGTGAATGTGCATAGGTATGCGGTAGCATGGCTACTGCATCCTATAAAAACCGCAGCCCCTTGTGCAACAACCACCCGTTTCTGCTTTTTTGTCTCTGATGATGGATTGGAGTAGGAATCCGAAACGTCAGGCTAATAAAGTTCTTGTCCCAGCGATCGTGTCTCCTTCTTCCAGAAATGACTGTTCCATTGCCTATATCTCTGTCAGCAAATAACTTACTCGGTTGCAAAATCTTGCTTAAATACCAATCATATGCTTATCGGTACCGTCCATGACAAAACAGCATTACCCTCAGCCCTTCCGTCCGTTTAGGAAATCCGAAAACTTACAAGAGGACTTCTTACTTTCCCGCTGTCTTGGTTTCCCTATGGATGCTTCCATTTTAATGTTCTCTGCGGAAAGCAGAATGAACAGCATAGGACGTTGCTTTTTTCACATAGTTTATTAATATCACCCTATTAAAAAGTTTGTTAACAAGGAAACAATGACTGGCTTCAACATGATAAGAAGTTAGGAGCGTTTGATCTTTGAAGAAAGGACCACAATTTCTTAACTTTGTGGACGAATCACAGTATTTTAAATACTACCTTGCGTTGACCAGACATATTCTGGAACGTAAATCCTCATCCATTTTGTTTTTTATCTGACTTTATTCGTCTTTTTGTTTTACCGGTTACTCTCTACCCTTGGACTTGATTCAGCCCTGTTCTGATGAGCATCGGTCAGTCGTCGATCTGGTTGGAGTGCGCGATATGTCCGTTCCTAGTATGGGTCCCGAGCTATCCCAAGTTAAATTCTGATCATGGTCCATGTTTCTTGATTTATGCCACCAACTCTACGCCAATGAAAGCCTCTTCTGCAAACAGAATCAGAATGCAGATCAAAGTGTCGTAATCATATGACGTCAGGCAGGACAGACCTGACCTGCACAGTGGATCTACGTAGTCAGCCGTCAGTATTCAAATCGAACACTCTGCGAAATTTAATATCCTGTGACAGCAAAGTCGATTAAACGCGTCGGCGCCCTTGATGTTCAATCCATTTTTTTGGCTTAAGGTTGGATTTGAATAAGAAGACAACTGGCTGCCCCTTGTCAGTTTGTGGTGCTGCAAGCGGCAGAAAACTTAAACTGAGCACTGTGTGGTTTTATCTCTTATCAAGGGGCCTTGTAGGCACTATCCTACTTCTGCCTCTGATGATGGCTTTGAGCGTGAATTCGATATGTCAGCCGAATAAGACTGTCGTTTCTGCGGGCGTGTCGCCTTCTTCATCTGCCGCTTCCTGTTGTTCATTTCCTAACCGGCAGATTTACGTCTATAAACCGTTCAATGCGATAGGCAGAATGAGTGGACGCATTCGAGCAGTGTGGCAATGCAAAAGGCGCTCTGGGCCAGTTTTACTAATTCTCATCTTCAAAAGGCAATTTGGCGAGCATACGTTTGCTTTCGATAAATTCTCTTCAGGCCTGTACATTTATATCGCTAGTGAGGTCTTGAGTTAAAAAATACGGGCAAGTAGATAATTAGGCTGTAGCTCGGGTTTGGGGGGAGAGTGAAACACCACAATTCTAGCCAGCGTCAGGGAGAAGGTGGGCCCCGGCGAAGGTAATTACATGCGGGTAGATGGCTCGGTGGCTTTGAGCCATGGCAACTGTGGGACCTGTATGACGTTATTCTGTGCGCATAGGACCGGTCCGCGTAGCCTGATTGCAGCCGCCTCTGCCGTAGCCAACATGTGCTGCCCAAGTACTTTTTGATATCTTGAGCTACAGCTTAATTATCTGCTTGCTTGTATCTTTTAATTCATTACCTCAATAGGCATAAAAATGCACAGGCCTGAAGAGAATTTGTCGAAAGCGGACGTATGCTCGCCAAATTGCCTTTTGAATTTTACAATGGAAATTTTCGCTACTTTAATACTCTCATCAGCCTAAAATTCGATGGCCAATCAGTATGGAGGTGGAAAGCCTCGTTGACAGACTAACGACCGTTATATTCTGATGCCAAATCCGCTTCTGCTACGCCCATCCGCTTTTCTTGAACAACGATATCCACCGTGGGTCCCAGGGAATGAGTTTAGGGCGGTGACTTGCGCGTGAATTATGTTATAGTTATAACAGTCTTGAGCAAAATCCGGCTGTAATGGGAAAACATTGACAGTATAACCGATGGTGAAGTCGGCCTAAGTAATCTACGCACTCCACACACGTTCTTGTCCACTAAACATGCAGTAGGCTTTGGAATGAGCAGCATGGATCTCACACTAGTGAGAGTTCCCAAATACCGCGATAAGAAGGAACCGACTATTCGCACAAACCGACTCAAATCCAAGAATGTAGGCGAAAGCGCCGATAGGGATAACAGTGACAGGTTGGCGGTCGAAACATCATGGACACATTTGTAAAAGAGCGAAAGGGCTCCGTTCCTAATAAGCAAAGTTCTGCTCTTCCGAATACACCCTCATCAGAGTTTGCATGTTATATGACGGAGGCATAAACGCCGTCAATTCCGCCGTGTGTCAGTCGGCCTTAAGCGCATCTGTAGCATTGTGGTTCTCGACTTGTGGGTGTGGTGTGCCAATAAGTTTATATTTTTGTGCTGAGGTCTGCCGCCGACTGACTGTTATGCGGAAGCATGATGCAGGTTACGCATGAGGGCATTAGTCTGAAGCATGCAGTTTAACGCCTCATGTGCGGTGCACGACGTCACCAATAGGAGGTAACTGAACGGTATTAGTGGATGGTTTAATTAGCTTACGGTGTGAGTTATGAAGGTCTTCCCACCGATGCTCTGTTCTTTGACCATCAAGAGCACATTTTGAACGTGATATTCTACCGCTGCGCACTGTGATTATATCACATCGAAATTATTTGCGGCAAAATAGAGCATAAAAATTATTATAACAGTGCATATGTTGTATGCATTTGATTTGTATAAGACTATCTCTACAGAGGCCAACGGTGATTTTATTGCTTGAAGGCTGCGGACATTATACTATTTTATTTCCGTGAAAGACCACATTAATGCCCACAATCTCATGTGGTACCATGTTTTCCGACCGGTGTCTTAAACATCTGCAGGTTAATTTTGGTGCCCTTCTCGATCTGCTTGTGTTATGACCATTTCATTTCAGCAAACACTGAAAGTTTTTACTCTTCGAAGTGATTTTGATGGAAGACGTCTTTGCTGTAGCAGTTAACTAGTTTTGATCTTCCCAGCAGCCTTAACTGTCCAGTGGTTAACTATAAAATCCAAGTTCGTGCTAAAGAAATACCTACGAAATTAGATTCTGGTAGGCTTTAACAACACAAGTTACTTTTAAAACAGTTTATGGTCTTTATGCAATTTCAGACAATAGAAGAAAGGAGACAAATTGCCACATCTAGTAGAGGATTGTAAAAATATATTTGTTATTTTGGAATGACAGACAAAAGAAATTTTCCAACGGGAATAATACTTTCATGTGTCGCTGTTATGTTAAAATTAAGAAATGTCACTTATTACTTCACAGGGCGCCAGAACGACTGCAGAATACAACCAACATGTGAATGGTGCGTTGAATTATCTCATCTAGCGCAACATTATCGGACGCTTTGAAAGTTTTCAAGACTGTTGATCTTTTCGAAGTCTAGGTCGCATCGCTATTATCGACGTTGAGCGGATTGCTTTTATCTTCTTTTGCTGTCTCGATCATTTGGTGGGTGTTTGGTTGCCTTGACAGCTACGTGAAATATGATTTATGCCACTCGATAGACGGTGGTTGGCATCTGCGATGGCTGTTCAGTCTGGCGGCTCTTTTTCTCTCATGTCGAGTAAGATTGTCGTCGGGTCGATGCCTATTATCAGATGCTATTGAAAGTATGAATTGGTTGCACGTTATTCAGTTAAAATAATGGCAGATGTGTCCTCGACGCTTTAATCCAAGCGTGTGTCCATGGGTAGTTTCGGAAATATGGTGGCATGATTGGGCAAGGATTAAGCATATGAGTGGGGTTAAAAAGCTGTACTGTTTTGTAACGAATTTTATGAATTATTTTTTGGGCTACGTCATGTTTGAATGCTTAATAACGGAAATTTTCACTCATGCAGCAGGAAGCAAATTTACTTAAATGTCATTTACGCAAAGTCTAACGATGACCCGTCGATCCAACGTCAGCTATTTACTAAATTAAAGTTTTAACCATTCTCAAAGAACTTTTTCACTTTAAATTACCTTTTTTATGATGCCCATCTTCCACCTTGTGTGTATATATATTCCTCAAACAATTTTAAATGCGGAAAAATGTTGAACTTTTTTTCAACCCACGATGCTAACTGCTGTGTTAAATATTTAACTCAGTTATGTTTATTCGAACTAAAGATTTTTCCTCCTCAAATACACAGTTTTACAAATACATATGGTACACAGTAGATTATATTAGAGGGGAGTGCATTGGGTTGAAATCGGGTGGGCATTTTAGATCAAAATAAAAACTTCACATTTCAAAAGTAAGGATTAATGGCCAGTATAGTTTTTGGGCGGCTGAAAGGGTTAGCATTCAGATGCCGGCATCCAGTCGTAAACCGGGCGCAGTGGGCCGGATGCGCTACGTGTTAATCAGTACTGCAAATTTACTTTTCAAATGAAGGCCCATTGAACAAATTGAGTCAGAGATTCACAGGACTCGCAATCGTAGGATCGTATTTTTAAAACTCGATCCTCGGTGGGTATACATCAGGGTCAGTTTTGAATGCCGGCATGACACGGCCTCTCAGGGTTTGACACAGAGTTTGGTTTTTCCAACTGCGTTTAAATTCAGTTAGTTCACTGATATTTTGGCAGACAAAATTTACTGTACTCCTATTATATTTTAAGACACAGTCGCAGATTTGTTTCATAAGGGCATCAAGCGGATTTCTGAAATGTGTTTTGCGCAGAAAATATTGCTTAGATAAGCTTATAATATTTAGTAACCTGCAGCACAATCCTTAAACGTTTCAGTCACGCCGAAATATTGGCTTTTGAATAGAATTCATCTAAATCTCGCCTCTTTTCACTCACTTCCGATTTCATTATGAATTTAAATAAACGCTCTGGTAACTACATTCAGAAATGCTGTTTCTGTTGTTTTTAGTAGAAAATTCTTCTAATTCCGATTTTATAGTTCAAGAATGCTCGTTCCCATTAAATGACCTTTTAATTTCGTGCGAACTCTAGCCTTTGCACTTGCGCACTCTCCGCATGTACCGCATTAAAAATTATAATTATAAGGTCGTTATATACAATTATAAAATTTTTCAATGTTCGCGCAGTATGTTGTGCACTTCGTAAACAATACCTATAAACCGACAGATAAGACGCTATAAGAATGGACGTTTAAAATATTTTACAAATTCTTTAAGCCAAGACTGGCAATTTCTTCAGGCTAAAAATTGAAAGAGACGTAATTGCTGCACACTGGGTATGAGGAGGGATATATTAGCCAATGCTTTTTCCAAGAAAGTCTAAACTTTATTGGAATAAACATTCAGTGGTTACAAAAATATTTCATCATTGTAAATGTCAAAGTTTGGTTCTGCAGACCCACTTTATTGATACCATGCGTGCAATTACGCTGACTTTGCGTATCTCACATGTTTGCGCCTTTCCTAACTATTTAAACCCCGTGCCTCAGTGGGGAAGTACTTATACGCCAGCCTCGGTTACATCAGTTGTCAGTTCATACGCACTTGCCTGCGCGTGATTCGAGCCCTTCTTACGCCCTCAATCTTCAATCCAGAGATTGACTAAGTAGGACTGTTAACGCCATTGTTCGGATGGTGTGGAACTCCGTCGGTTCCACTAGAGTGGCCATGTACTTCGACTTAACCCTCTGTTCCCCTGTGCTCTTCCAATTGTGATTGCGACCCCTATATCCTCTTAATCCAGCGAGTGACTGTGTCCGGAGAGTGTTACACAAAGCATCGGTTAACATGCGCTTCCCTGCGTGTGTTTCGAGCTTTGTCTGTGCTCTCTATCCCTTCCTAATCCAGGAGTGGCTAAGCTAACTATGCTAACTAAAACTGATTAAAGTGACTAATCAGTGGAGCTCCAGTAAGAAACATTTTCGGAACCTATGGATGCCTCTCCCTCCATTATACATCTCAAAGCATACATAATGTGTTGCATGACCACGTCTAGATAGAATACGTTCTGTATGATTTCTATACTCTGAAGAGGATATTTATTGACTAAGAAGTCGCAACGGATTATTTTCCTTACTTTTTAACCTGGTTGCCCTATAAAATGTAGCGGCACACTATACCTGGAACAATATTTGGCCCGAGGATGGGAAGGTGGGATTGTTGCTGAAGTTGTTGCTATGGAAACATCAAACAGGCTTGAGAATTCCTCGAAGCCTGGCACTCGAACAAAACCAGCATTAATCTCCATGTTGATCTAGACTCTCACTACGAGGGTCTGTATGCCCGGCTCACTAAGTTGTGCCCACGACGCAACATGTAGAATATCACTATTTCGCCACCCCCTCGCACAGACACAGAGATCCGCAACTTCGACACCCATGTACTGTTCTCCACCAGTCCCATCCTATACGGAGAGGGCAAGGATAAACTACCAGCTCAGAGCACCTCCATGCGTATTTACTGCCTGACCTGCTCCTGGGGGGCAGAACATATTGCTTGCATGAGCCGGCGTTTATCCAAAAGTTAGGAAAGAACCACATAAAGAACGTCAACAGCTTAATCATCGCGTACATGGTAGATGCAGACCACCGTGTAGACGCCAGAGAGGTCTTCAAAGTGATTTACAAGGTCCCATCAAGCTTTCCAAAACTACTTGGACAGCACTTGTTGACTACGGCAGAGGCGGCTGCAATCAGGCTACACGGAACGGTCTTATGCGCACAGAAGAACTTCATACAGGTCCCACAGTCGCCATGGTTTAAGTCCACCAAGCCAGCCACCCGCATGTAATCACCTTCGCCGAGTCCCACCTTCTCCCTGGCGCTGAATAGAATTGTGGTGTTTCACTCTTCCCCCCCAACCCGAACTACAACCTATTTATCTACTTGCCCGTATCTTTCAATTCATTACTTCCATAGCCAGATAAATGTACAGGCCTGAAGAGAATTTATCGAAAGCAGACGTATGCTCGCCAAATTGCGTTTTAAACACCCAAAACCTCTACGTTGGTTCATTGGCCTCTGCCCGCATGCCGGATCGGCGACCATTAAGACCACTGTCCGCAGTCCTGTTGAATCGTCCTCCCCCCACTTTTCATTACAAGGAGTCGCAATAATTCCTACTTCATCTACCGCCACACATTCTAGCCTTATTATAAGCATGCCCCTTTCACACATTAGTTGCTTGCCTATAAGTGGCTGTCCTTTCGCGCCAAGTCATTTAGTTTAGCTATTTCAATTTCTCCCCTGTTTATTTCGTCTGACGACGGCTTGTGTCACCAGCTCGACAATTCAAGAGTACAATTCGACTTTTTCCGACGAGCCTTTTATCTTCATTATATATGAATTAATTTATTACAAAATTTAAAAAGAAACGGATAGTATCATTTTAGCGACCTAAAACGATTATAGCTTGATCTTGACGGGAAATAGCAGTACGAATTAGGCGGGTCCTTGAATTCTTGAAGAATAACAGACCGAGTTAGGGATAATGAAGTAAAAGTGTCCCTTAGTCAAACATATCCGTGGATTAGGTCGTATTTTCTACAGGAGACTGAATAAGAAAGGGAATATTTCGTGCAGATCTTCGGCATAAGCTGACTGCATCGTGCAGGAACAAATATTAATTACGTTTTTTAATTTTCCAGGAGACTTAAGTCGGCATCTTGTCGTGTGCGGAGCAGCGTGGAATGAATATTATCCAAGTTATTCCCTCCTGTAACCTCACTTAAATTAACTTCCTGAATCGAAAGTATAGGTTGGAAATTCAATCAGTGCTTTGCGGGATTTGCACCCAGCAAACATTCATTCTCCGATTGCTGAGAGCAGGCGAGCTCCAGAAAGCAGTTCAAAAGACGAAGATGCAATAACTGGAATAAGAAATTTGTTGGCCTGACGTTTCGGATTCTTACGCGAACCAATCATCAGCGAATGCCTCTGATGATGCTGATGCTGCTGCTGCTGCTGCTGCTGCTGTTGATGATGATGATGATGGTGGTGGTGGTGGTGGTGGTGGTGGTGGTGGTGGTGGTGGTGGTGATCCGAGGCGTCAGGCCAGCAAATTTCTTATTCAAGTGGTCGCATCCTCGTCTTCTAAACATCCATTAATTCAGTCATGCTGCCAATGAGCTTATTGCGCGCGGCAGTTAATGAATATTACGCGGTTACCCGCTGTGGCTGATGGATTTTGGGCCAAATATTCATGTATAAAGTTCTCGGCCTGAGTCTATAGACCTTGAATAAACCGAACTACTTCAACTTCGTGGATAATTTCTCAGGAAATTAAAAAGCGACAAATTATTAATTCTCATCCAAATAACTTCTTGCACAAGTACAGCACACATAATTCTAATCTGATGCGACCTTCTTTTCACTGACATAAGCGACTTCACAAGCTTTCGTGGCGTTGACTCGGAGTGGCTGAAAGAAGTCAGACCAATCGTTGACCGGACAAGGCGTTAACCATGGCGGTGGGAAAAGAGATGTCATCACGACAAATATCTGTAATTTGTCCTGCTTTCCGCATGTGCCTTATTCATGCTACACTTTCCATCCATCGAATACTTTGTTTATTTTATGCTTTGCAGATCGAATATCTTGCTGTATGTCATCAGTCCAGAGAGGTGATTAAACTGGTTTCATAGAAAATCTTTTCAGTGCGAGCTTTGATACAGTGTAACTTCTGAACTGAGATTATCCGTAAGTAGATAAGAAATGAGATAATCTATAGAAGAACATTTTAATACGCTGCATTTAAATGATACGATTTTACTTGAGATTCGTCCTATATATGTAATGCAGCTCTGCAGAATCATGTAGGTTTGTGTCCGCAGACGTGAAACGAACCATAAAATCCTTGGAAAATGTGAAGGAATATCAATACATACAGCTCTTTTCGCAAGCGTTACTAGGCAAAGGGACGAGGATCGGCGTACGTGAAGCTGTGGGGATCCCTAACGCAAGCCTCTCGATAATTCAAGGTTCCATATTAGTTGGCCACCTAGATGTGAGTTCTAGTCATCAGCATATAGTGAATGACTCCGTTGCTCTAATACTAGCTAATGTTTGATGCTTCATACGTTGTGCGAGTGCTATAGTTACTCCTACATCTGTCGTCAAAGTGGCACTTTCTAAGCAAATATCTGTGCTGGCTGAATGCATCGGTAACCATCTGCCACAAATTAATACCTATCCTCTAAGTGCACAAAGACGAATTGGATCGATATCCACAGTTATCCAGACTGATTGTCCTGCTGAATGTATTCAGTACGAAACCAGCAAAAATAACCATGCTACGTCGTAAAAGTGACTACTTAGGTAGAACGCATGCTTCTAAATCATTCCCAAAATTTATAAGAATTGAATTATATCTCATAGAAAAAATGCATTAAAATACTCATTCTTTTACTCATTTAGTAGGAGCTTGTGTCTTTAAATTGTGTACATGACGGAGGGGTTCAATTGGGTTTTTATAAAGTCTGTAATTGTGGGATTTCTCAATACCATGAAATGGCCGTCATAAAACGGCATGTCTCTGCATTTACCAATGTGGCTTGTAAATTTAAAAATATGGCTCAAATCCGTCATTAAATTTCTATACCCCATATAGTGTCCCCTTAATGCCATGTACAAATTTATGGTTTTCAGTACGAGGAAAATATAGGGTTGTTGTTTGGAACCCCCAAATGCAAATGTAACACCATGTCATGTCCAAAACTAATCAGGAATTGGAACACTTTTTGTAAACCGTAGTATGCCCTTTCTTCCATGATCAACCCCGAAGAAGGCGTAATTGTCTACCGAATATATATTTTTGTGCGTGTTTTCCATGGAATATAATTGAATTTTTAAGGACGTCGAAAATCAATGAGAAAAGTGCATGCTACTTAAGTAGTTACTTTTTACAGAGCATGGTTTTTGCCTGCCGTCAAAAAGAAGTTCCTCCGAAAGCCAGCATCCTGAGGTAACGGATTTATCATATAATTATGCTGCTTGATTATTAGTTTTACAACCCTATCTAGTTAATCGTTTCGAAGCAAAAACTCGGTTTAAAATTTCGGCTAACATTTCACGAGTTAGCCCATCTGTTGCAGTTTAGACTATTAGTCGATTCAGTTGGGTCTGTTGTCAATTGCTTAGACATTTTTCGTACATTAAATTAAATGTTCTGATTTGCACCGCTTTCTGCTGTTATAATACTTCACTACAGACGTTGACACCCACTAAATTATGAAAAACATTGACATGAATCACATTGCCTTGTATTGCTTGACGTTTACAAATGGACACTTAGCAATCAGAGTATAAAAAGGATAACGGTGTGATTTTTGGATCAGGTGCGTGCATTAGCCTGGCCAACAAGTCCTTGGCGTTCTTGGACAGCACAAAGCAAAGTACTGACGAGCAGTTTCTGAAAACAGTAACAGCAGTTAAATCACCATGGGGCTTCTAGGACCGTACACCTCTCAGTCCGTCACCTTCATCGCCTTCCTCTTCCCCACAGGCATCAATCCAACCTGGAGCCTCTACCTGCTGTGCCAGCGATGTGCGCTTCGACCGCCTTCGGCAACAAGCACATCGCCTCTCCCGAATACTAAGAACAATCAGCGCGATCATCAGAGGCAGAGGCGTGAATATGGACACGGCTAGGGGCATCACAGCACCAATATCCCCCTCCGGTTGAGGCATCGAGTAGATCAGCACGAGGACGGCTATGCCGATGTTTTGTATGCCCGTCTCTATGGCGATGGTGAGTATTTCGGCGCGTGACCTCCGAAGCATGAAGGCGACAAGGCCGGCAGCCAGGAAGCCAATCCAGGGTAGAGCAGTTGCTGTGGCCAGGAGGAGGGGATATTGACCAATCAGGGCGCAGATGGCCAGGTTCACGTACGTTCCGAAACCGACCAAGAAGACGGTGGTAAGAATTGCCAGTGGCCGCAGCAATCGCCGAATCTTAGTGGCCAGCTTGGGAAGGTAGTACTTCACCAACAGTCCAACGACAAGGGGCCCAGCAATGTAGAGCAGTTGACCAGCAATCTGACCGTAGGGAATCCGTATCTGCTGCACGTCCAGAGAGAAGCGACCGTAGATAAACAGCAGAAGCGGCATCATGCCTTTGAGAGAGAAAAAAGGGCCGACTGGGCAGTGCAGCAGCACAGAAGGATAGAAAGGAATCGAAAGATGAACAATGTTCCTGACTGATAAGGGTTTGCAGTCGTCGGCCCCCCGCTTCCCCCTAAATTCGGGATATGAGCAGTCGGCAAAATCACAACATCGGTTGCTCCTAAAAGGCGACTGCTTATGAAGTAGAAGGCCAGCGGAATATGAAGAGATCATACAACTAAAGTGAGACAGAAGGCTGATCGAGCACCGGTACATGGGCTTATGAATACGCTCTCCAGACGGATCCGGCGTGAAGAACACGTAGGGTCTGTTATCTCCGCGCCCAGTTTGCACAAAGTTGTTATTCGAAGACATTCGTAAGTCGCTGCCTACGTGGTCGTCCCTCGAAAGACCCAAACTTCAAAGCTACTAACGGTATGGCATTCTCCGCCATACATTAAAGACGCTGAAGAAGCGACCGAGTGCATTGCCGCCGAGCTAGGTGTTGGAATTGCACACTGCCTCAAAGCCACCATGCGCAGCTAGGTCATAAAAATTGAAGACCGACTAAGGCTTGAGGAGCGATCTGGAGTGCTGTATCGCTCTCGTGCCAAAACTGTCCTTTTAACTACACGTGGACGCATGGCCGAATCATGCATATACGAACATAAGCTGGCTGTGCGACGAGGCAACGCATTATCACAAGTGGCCGCCCACACCTACGAAATGGGTCATGAGTTTAACTTTGCAGTCACCAAGATAATCGGCTACGCGGAAAATAAAACAGGCCGAAGATTGATAGAGGCCTGGGCCTCGGGTGAGACCTCAGCCGATCGATTTATTGATCTGCCCAGTCATCTCCAGCCCTGCATTATCGATGGATGATTGGTGAGCACGCCCTATAATAGTCGCTTTTTTGTTGCTGCCGCTTTCTCTAACGATGGACTCCGGCACCATTTCGAAACCTCACAACTGAGTTCTCCGAGGCCCGATCAGCCTTATCTTCGCCTATACGTACACCTGAAACTCGAACTTTTGCCTAAATTCGTCATTTAGTCCACATTATTGAACACCTAGTGCCTCTTGGCAGGCACTTAATCGTTCGCAGTCACTGGAGAAGCAGGTGAACTGACAGCATCTCCTTCCGCTTGTTGCTTCAGCGTCCTTTAACGCCTTCGCAGTGACTTATGAAAATGCCACTGACATGCACGTATCTTGGAGTCCGTCTAGGGGAGACTCCAGAAAGCGGTACACCTACGAGGTTACAGCGGTCGGGGTGATCGACGCAGCGATGAGGAGGACCTGCATCTCGAACAGCCTTTCCTGTTTGGTTTCTGCACTGAAGCCGAACACACCCTACAAGGTCACAGTGAGGTCCTGCTCCCGTACCAACTACTGCGGACTACCGACGGCTCCGCTGGATGCTCATACTCCACCCAGCGGTACATTTCTAACCCGTGCTTAACAGTCATTGTTAAGTATTCTGTCCTTATATTGGCTTCTAGGCCACGTACTTGCAGGCATACGCTAGACTAGTGGTTGAATTGGTAAAAAATCCAGAAAAAGGGCAATCTACCATTCGACAAACGTCTATGGAATCAGTCACCAAGCGATGCGCGTCATCTTTAAAAATGTCAGTGGACGGCCAACCAAAGGGTCCATTTGTCTGAATAACCAGCCAACTGCAACAAAGATGTACGATTTACGATAGGGTTTGGTTGCGCTACCCTGGTCTCAAGTGTAAACGCAATGTGGGCAATACAAGTAAAGTAAGCCGAAGAAGGATGCTAAAATCGATAACGGGAAAGTAGCCAAAGTTAAAACAGAAAAGCGCAACCTTGTGTTTTGGTTTAGAGTTTGGCTTAGTTCTAGAGTTTTGGTTAGTGCCAGACTGAGAATTGAGTTTAGGGTTAGGGTTTGTGTTAAGTTTAGGGAATTTGATTGGAGTCGCGGTTTAGATTGCGCTTTAGGTGTACGTTCGGTGTTAAGGTTAGGGTTAGAGTTTGGATTACGGTTAAGGTTAGGT